ATACATATATATATATATATATGACCACAATTGAATTAAATGAGATAAAAAGATTATAAAGGGATATTTAAAAAGTTCAAATATCCTGGATTTATCTGTATAATAGTCTTTCCTTGAAAAGTTCACCCTATTTCATTAAAAAGATGCCCAGGTCCACACACACTTATTAAATCAGAATCTCCAGGCATGGACTCCTAGGGTCTATATTGACCAAGCTCCCCATGTGATTCTGAGACATGTGTATCAAAACAGAGAACACTGCATAAAACATTTTCTACTTCAAAAAGGATGAGATCTGAGGAGTGCAATTAAACACAAAAGGAACAGGTAGTGGTCTAGGTTAGCAGGGAAGTGGTTTGACTCTACTACCAGCTCCAACAAGAAACCCACAATCACTATAGAGGAAGGAGCACAGGAAACTTCCTCGAAGAGTCTGCAGCCCCTACAGGAAGCCACAGAGCAAGCAGATCCCTGAAATCAGCCAGGCCCCGGCTACAACTCATGTAGAGAAAGCCTTGCTCAAGGGCACAGAGGCTTCTCATCCTGAGCACACCAGGAAGGTATGAACATGCCCTGCCCCTCTGTACCCTTCTCATCCTTTCACTTTCGGGTTGTTACATTCTGGCATTTTGACCCCATCAAACACCATCCCTGCCTCCCTCTTTCTCTCCCTCCCTCCCGTTGTTTGTCCCCTGATCACCTATGTTCCTTTTGTTTGTTTGCTTACCTACTTCAGTAGCCACCACTTGTACCCGGTACAGACTTTCAACTTCCCTGTCCAGAGGAGCTGCATTGAAGATCTCACCAGTGACAGGGTCAATCTTAAGCCAACGTCTTGTGTCGCCTCTCAGGGAGTACCTTCATCAAGTAAAAAGAGAAAAAGAAAGCTCACATCACTTTGTATTAAATGTGAAGATACTTGCACATCACCATACTATTATATCAATGTTATCATTTGTATATTATTTATAACCTATGTAAAGGATCATATCTTCTATTATTAATGCTGTGTTTTATCCTTCCTCACAGCATGGTGTTTGTGCTTGTGCTTGTTTCATTAGGAAATATGTTCTTACAAACCATGGGGAAAAAAGTTAAACTGTTCTGGCAATCAAAGAATTCAAACTAAAGGGCCCAGATGGTGGTATAGTGGTAACACAACTGAAACCAAGTGGAAAATGTCCTAAGTTTGTATCCCAAGATCTCCCTAAGCACTCCAGACCAGCCGAGACTATGGGTAGACCACATGGGGACCTTGTTAGGGGTGCCTGTCTCTCTCATGAAAGAAGGGAAGAAAGGAAAAGGAAAGAGTAAAGTAAGGGAAGGAAACAAATTAAAATGAAAGCAACATGGTATCTTTTAAACTTTCACAGTAAACTGCCCATTTAAGAAAATATGAACACCCAGTGATAGAGACATTGGGAGAAATGTGTGGATTCTCATAAACTGCTGGTCACACAGTGAATTCCTCATTTAACAAACATGTATTGAGTACTTAGCAATATGAGGCAGTGGAACAAGGGAGGTGATTACAGAAATGGGGCTCTTAGGCCAGAGGAGGAAACAGAGAAACAGATAATTGCAATAAATGTAATAAATACAATGAATGGACCCTATGGAAGCCAAGACATTTAAGGGAATACACATCTTCCTGAAGGAGATGTTAAAGGCAAGAAGGACCATGCTCCAAGCAGAAGGGAGTGTGTGAGCTAAAGCAGAGAGACCAAGGAACAGCTTGTTGGGTATGGGGGGAGACCAACATTTCCGTAGTGTTGTGATATAAATGGGAAGTAGTGGATGTCTCAAGAGGAGACCACGGAGATTTGGAGAGCCAGGTGCTGGGGAACAAGCAGCCATCAGACAGCATTAAGGAAAGGTGACCCAGTCATATTTGTGTTTTCAATGGAACTCATCAGTAGGTGTGTAAAAGATGAATTTGAGAGAGACTAGACCACTCTGGAAAAACAATTAGTCCAGTCCTTTTGGAGCACAAAGCAACACAGCATAACCATAGGATGTCCATATATGTAGACCAAATTATCCCACTTCCAAAAATCTATTCAATAAAAGTTAAAGAATAATTACATTCACCCATATATTCAAAACATTTTTGGTAGTTTAACCCATACCGAATCATTTCCTAGTCAAGCTTAGTATGTGATACAAAGAGGAGCTTTATTCTTGTCGATGGCTCTAGAAAAGAGATGGTGGTGCCTTGGACCATGCTGAAACTTAGAATCATCTGGATCCTGGATTTATTTCAATGAAATAATTTGTAATATTTGCTGACAGTGATGGATTCTGTTTGTGGAACTGGAGGATTAAATCACTTAGGCCAAAACTTTGGAGTCATCCTTAACTGTCAACTGTGATGTTAGTATATGAACTACTGACTATCCTCATTCCTTAGATACTATGTTCATTAGTCTTCCAGAAATGTATCTTCAGGACACCCTTTCTCAGTCTGCTAGGTTGACCTTAACTTAGTGGTAATATATGTTACATCTTTTCCTTATTCCATTGGAGAAATTGTCTTAAATGCCTTTATTCTTCCACCACCCCTTATAAAGTTTTTATTAATTTTTTACTATGACTTTAACAGTATCTTCATTAATAAGGTAGAAGCATTTGTTAAACAATGAGTGGTTGTAAAAATGTAGGCATTTTCATCGCATCTTGTGACTCTGATATAGAGTGCAGTATCTACAGAAAGCTGGTGTCTACAACCGCTGCTGTTCTTTGTCTTCATGAAACCAGAGAAGTTGTTAAAGAATAAAAGAGTAGGAGCTAACTTCATTCCTTGACAATCAGAAAAAGGCATTACAATGGATTCTAAGTGTCTACTTGACAGTTCAAAGGGAAACAAGACTCCTCTCAAATGGTTAGAGAAACTTGAGGAATTGTCGTTTATAACCACATACATTAAGTCATGCTGAAATGTTTGTTATGTCATAGACAGTAGCTAATATTTTACAATAGAAGCAAAATATCTGAGTTCAAGATCTATCTAGGTGCTCATAAAGATTTTTTTTATTTAAATTTATTTATTTACATTCATTCACTGTACATCATTACAGCATACAAAATGAGATTTTCCATCCAGAGTACACTGTATATTGTCTCAATCAAGCACATCAACATACATGTTGTTGTCAACAAATAATTTTCCATTTCTTGTTTCCTGTATGTTTTGCTTTTTATTCTCCCCGATCCTTGATTCCCTATCTCTTACCCTCTGCCATCTCCCGCTCTCTTCCCACACTGTCTCTGGTATCTATGTTTACTTTCTATACTGTTTCCCCCCCACATTTTATTTAATTACCAAAGATATTAATTAATCTAAATATTTTCATAGCAAACACAGCTGATATATACATTTCCATGAACACAAGTCTAACTTTAGGCATCCTACAAAGTAGCACCTAGCTGGGGCTATATATCTTACTGAGGCCATCGAATGGATTTTTTTTGTGAAGTTTTTTTTTTTGTAACTTAATTTACATTTGTGATTTCCCATCCAGAATATACTGCATAGTGACTTAATCATGCATACTATTATAAAAAATTTTCCATTTCTAGTTCCTAGAATATTTTTACCCCTCTTTCTGACCCTTTGTCCTTTCCCATCCTCTTCTCACACTATCTCTGGTGTCAACAATTGTCTTCCATTCCTTTCCCACCCACGTTGTATTGATCACACAATTTCTTAAATAATCCAACTACTTTCAATGGTAAGTTCACATGATACTATTAAGAAAACCAGTTTTAACTTAAATCA